AGGAACCTGCAGGGCCAGTTTAGTGTTGATGTTTTTTCAGTGGCAGGAAGATCTGTAAGATGCTGGTGGGAAATCTGTAGATTCCCAAACATTGCTGAGTTTCTGTAAAATTCTTTAGCTGTGTGGGGAGGAACCAGAAACCTTCTGCAGCCAGGCCAAGCTGGTGCTGAGTTTCAAGCAGGCATTTACAGAACATCTTGGATATGTCTGTGAAAGAACTAAAATATCAGAAAAGTTACCAGGTCTGTCGTTCTTAATACACAGAGATGTGAGTTTAGAAACCTGAAGCTTCATCTAGAATGAGAACTTAGGCCCTGGGGACTGCAACACTGTTTACTCAAGCAGGTAAAAAAAGAAAACAGTTGCGTGGGTAGGATTTTCCTTGAGATGTGAAGGAGGAAAAGAGGGAGAGTCTGGTTGCTTCTGCAGTGCAATCAGAAAGCTCTGTGCATTTACCTGTCCATTTTCATATGTGTTAGAAAGCTTAGTGGAAGTGCATAGGAAACCAGATCTGTATGATTATTGGGTTGGTGGGAAGTAAGAGACATCTGAAGAGGAAGGTAGATGAGAGGGCAGTAAGGAGAAAGTGGCATCTGAGGTGGTGGTATGACAGGTGGGAGAAGCACATCGCTTACATCCCCAGAAGAGGTGACTGTTTAGAGACAGCTGCTGTGGTGAGCCTGGGCCTGTTAATTTCATTCTCACTCCTTTATATAATCTGTGTTCTGAATGAGTAGATACTGACTGTGTAGGCTCTGTGGCTTTTCTTCTGGCGTATTTCCTGATTTTTGTGGGCTCCATCTATCCTTGTTATTATTTATCCTTATTATTATTTATTATTATTATTTATCTCAATCCTGACAGTAAACTGACATTTAGTGGCTAGTTCTGCTGAAACTGAAATACCTAATGAGGATACCAGTTTCCTGAATATGTGGAACAGCAGCAGCAAAAAAATAAATCTAGTTTGCTTTGGGGTCCAAGAACTTTCAAATATTTTATTTTTTTTTCAGGCTTGACTATAAACAGTCCTCTAGATCCGGGCAAAACCAGTTTGTGACTGCTACATGGCATTTTGTGGGCTGTTAAGGCTTGAAGTGGTAGCTGATCCTTAGCACTTCTGAATAGCACGCAGGTTCTTAGCTGCTCCCATGTGAAACCCATGAACCTGATGAAGCCTATGGAGGCAGGATGGATCTTGAACCTGCTGGTTTCAGGGGGTCGTACAATGAAGATTGTGACAGGTGGAGGTTGAGGATATACTGCAGCCTCACACCTCATCAACAGCAATACCTTTATAGCACCTCTCCTATGGACTTGGCATCTAGTGGTACTCTTGCATCTTACAGCTTTCATGTGTTTCAGCTTGCTAGATAGAGAAGATCTAAATTTTCTCTCTCCTTTTTTTTTTCATTTTCCAGGAAAGCTAGGAAACAACAGGTTTCAGGGAGCAGCATTGCAGGCCAGCCCTTTTCCACAAAAAAAGAATAAATTGCTCTGCTCAAGTCCTTAGCTTTCAGCAGTGATTCTGTGATGCAAGTTTCTCCTTCTCTGATAATCTCCTCTATGGCCTCTTCTTGCTGACGTTTGCCCCCGTTTTGGGCACAAAGACGAAGAACTCTGGAGAATGGACACCTCCCTTTTGGCTTTTAGAACATGGGCACTTGTGTGAAGGTATGTCATTGCTCTTTGACTGGAGGGATGGAGTATCTGTGGAAGCCAACAAAGGGGATTTGCTGGGCTGGAAAGTCATGGCTATTGTTGAGGAGAAATACCTCATTTAAGCTTTCTGCATGCTGATATCCACTGCTGCTGCTGTTGAGATGACTGATTAATAACTCCCCTTTTGTTTGTTTAAAAAAAGAAAAAGCAACTTGAATGCAC